GATAAAAATGTGATTTATATTTTTATTATTTTATTTTATATGTCTGTCCGTCCCCCCGAGGTGTTCGTCCAGACAAATATAATCAGTGACCCCTAAAATACAGTGTTTCCATCTTAAAAGGAATTAATAACCTGTATTTGTAAAAGTGTCAATATATCATAAAACCAAATCAGTGTTTGATCGCAATCTGTGTTTATTCAGGAATTTGGAGCTTTTATTACAGTAATTAGTGTATTGTAGGTAAATGAGCTGTTGAAGATTTATAGACTGGAGGACAGAACGTGTACTATAGAATATATACTACAGTACTTGGCTGAGGCAGGAAAGTCTGTATTAAAGGTTTAAAGAGTTTGGAATCACATGGGAGGTTAGAAAACACACACACACACACACACATACTCTCTGTGTACAGTGTGTATCACTACACTGTATTAAAGTGCAGCGATCCAGTTCAGAGCTGGAGAAATTAATTGCAGTCTTCCTGGGACTATGGGATGTTTAATTATAAACTAAAACAAGTCTGAAATTCCATTCATTAAACCTACAGTTATTATTGTTATCTTTTAATTTTCATCAGATTATTATTAACTCACAGATTCAATGAAATTTCATGGTTGATTAACATTTCTTAAATCTCAAAGTAACCAGAATACTGAGTGTTGATGATTAACTGGTCATCCGACGTCCATCCGACCTTGTACCGTACCACACATTCCATTGGCCAACATCTAAATATTCAACAAAGTTCAACAAATGACTGCAGCCTCACATGTATTTGAATGAAAACATGATTAAATCCTTGTCTGATCCCAGAGTTTGGAATCACACGGAAAACTCTGGAATGAACGCGTCGCCCCGGGCTACGAGGATCTTGTTTTATGACGGCGTGTGTGAGGTTTTCGTTTCCTGTCTCCACGTTTTCACTGCTGCTAATTATTGTTATCGGCCTGTTAACAGCCGAGCTCACTTTCTAAGACACCCACGTTACAAAAATGTAAGCGGCAATAAAAAAAGAAAAACCACAACTGAGATGCAGACTATGAAGATACCACATGAGGAGCAGCAGGTCCGACATCAGATCTGAACCTCAGCCAAACGGCAGATTTACAAAGACTTCCAGAAGAAGTGTTGGTGAGATGTTGGAGTGAACTGTTGCTGCAGCGTCTGCGTCACTCGTCGTTCCTTGATGCATCAGCCGTCAGAATATTAATGTTCGTGTAGACAGACCGACAGGAGAAGGAGGAGGAGGAGGAGGAGAGCCTCCTCAGCTCTGCCTGATGATAAATACGCCTGCTGGTGTTTGATTGATGACACACAGCCCAAGAATCCCCCCCACCGCACCCCCGTGCTCCCCCACCCTCCACTTTATTGTACCATCCTGGCTGGCTCAATGAAACCAAAGAATAGAGCGTTTGTCTTCGACCGTGAATCCTGTCATAACACTCAGGTGGGCTCTCTGTAACCCCCCCGCCCCCGACCTCTTCAGCCGGCATGTTCCGACTCGTCCGTTCTCCATGACTTCACAGACAGGCGGCTGTTGTGAATCTGCTCTGGAGGTCTTCACTCCTCTGTCATAATTACACTGAGTTTCTGAAGAGTCGACGGAGGAAGTTCTGAAAACAGATCTTTGTCTGGTTCCTCCTCAGTCCACAGTTTACAGGAATCTTTCCAGGCCTGGTTCCAGACCAGAACTGATGATACGGGATCATTTACAGACTCCCCACCTTGAAATGACTCCTATGTAGGTACTATCACCGCAGGTGAGGGTGGGGGGCACAGACTGATGAGATGTTAAAGATGAAGATGGATAAGACCACGTTTGGAAAGGACTTTTTTTAACTTCTTACACAGACACAGCACCATATAGTGGACACTTTAAGCAGCGCATCTTTGCACTAATTCTGCAGCAAACAACCTAAAAACTCCCAGAGTTCATCACTACAACTCAAGACAGAAACATGACTTTTTTTATGAAACGTTACAGAACGGACCTTTAATCTTCGGAGCATTGACTGGAGAACCGTTCCTGACCGACAGCACTGACTCAGAGAGCACCACCTGCTGAAAGTCAACAACACCAAACAGATATATTTTTAAACAGAAATAAACTTGGAGCCGGTCATTCAGTGCACCTGTCAATCACAGCTGGGTTCAGCCAGAGTCAAATCAATAACAATAACAAATCACCACAACAACAACTCCGACACCCCCGACAAGCGTCTGCTTCAATGGTAAAAAATACATTAAAAAATAAGAGCACAGACATGAACACGCCTCCTCCTCCTCCTCCTCCTCCAAAACGACAAATTATCCACACAGTCGATACAACGTTATTTACACACACTGCTGGAAAGAGTTTCCCAGTCAACCCCCAGGGTCTTCAACCTCTGGTCAGCGGCCCGGCTCGTGTCAGAACAAACCCAGTGAAAGAAAAGAAACGTGGTGATCAATGCTGCACCAACATCAGTGTGTTTTCACATCAGAGAGTTCACACAGGAGTAAAAGGTGGATTTCCTGTCATAGTCTGGGAGCTGGGCTTCTTTGGAGAATAATAGCATCTCCAGAGAAGAAGAAGAAGAAGAAGAGGAGCTCGGCCGTAGCCGCCCCCCCGTGTTGCTCAGCTGATAATGAGGGAGACCAACTTCACAGAACCCAAAACCGCAGCTTTAAAGATTCTTTTTGTCCTGCTGCTGTGGACCAGTGGACCAGTGATGAGCTGCACACTCATCAGACGGAGGTTTATGGTTTACACCTGTTGTCTTCACTACGACTGTAGTTCTCCAGTCTGTGCGGAAGAGAACAGTGAGAAAAGGTGTTTCTAAAGCAGTCCTCTCCAGGTATTTGGGTAATTGGTTCTACGCTCATTTTCTTCAGGGAGTTTTCTTTGAAAGATTTAAAAGATAAAAGTCTTTTTTATCCCAACCCCAGACCACGATCAGATGAAGACTGATCATCATCAAGACCGACATTCCAGAAGGATTTATCACTTACAGAAATTCCACCGACATTCCAGAAGGATTTATCACTTATTTGTAACAGCATGTTGGTAAACTGAGTCTCGGCGCAGGACGTGTGAAGGAGGGGTCCACACAGCCCTCACCCACAGACATCACCCACCAGAAAGACTGACGAATCAAACGCTAATAAATTCCATCTCCTTTGATCTGAGCTTCTGAAGCTGCTGGTTCAAGTCTGACTTTGAATTCCTCAATCAGTGAAATGAAAAAGAAACCACATTAGTGGGTTTAATGCCAACTTCAGTTTGATCCTCCTGCTGCCACCTCCCAATCCCCCCCCACCTGCCCCCCTACCCAACACTGGGTGTGAATACAGTCCTTCCTCCTGTTCATTTTTACATCGTTAATAGTCTTTTTTTCTCCGAGCTGCGGCTCATGAAGCCTCCGTGGCGACATGAGCACACATATCGTCGCCGATAATCGAATAAAACACACAACCCTCACACGGTGGACGTGGCAAACCAGCTCCAATCTGCAGCTCAAACCACACAATGGCAGGATTAGCTCCATTAGCACAGGAATCTCAGAGGCAATTAACCCGCAGTGAGTAAAGCCCGCTCTCAGATTCCAGCAAGTGGCGCCGGGCAGCGGAGCGACAGGAGGTCAGGGGGAGGTGCCCCAGGAGCCGAGGAGGAGGAAGTGGGAAATGTTCCACACTGGAGGAGCTGAATGAGGGTCAACGCAGCATGTGAGTGGGTTAAAGAAAGCTGTGATGAGGTGGTGACCTTCTGGTGGGGTCGACGCCATCGACGGCTGCCTGACATTTTTATTAAACACAAATACAAGAAGAAGAAGAAGAAGAAGAGAAGCAGACTGATGTAGATGAGATCAGGGTTGACGTGGGACAGAAGGACGAAACTGAAATAGTGATCTTAAGCAGGGGTTCCCAAATCCCGGTGCCCAGACTAATACTGGTCCATGGGTCATTTTCCAGGCCACAGCGGGACACAGAGAATCCAAGTCATTTCCATTTTTTTTCTACATTTATAGATAATTGGGCAATATTTAAAAATAAAATGTCATTCAGACTCCAATACTAACAGAAAAAAATCTAAAATTTTATTTATTTTGAAATTTCACCTAGCAATAACAGTAGTTGGAATTTGCACACCCAGCTTCCCAATAACAGTTCACTGTTCCATCCAGCTTTTTAGTTTTATTCTTCTGCTAGATTTGTAGATGCGTACATGTTTCTTTATTAGCAGAAACCGTTTCTTTCTCTCCCCTTGGTTGTGGGTCGGGGACCACTGGTCAGGAGGCTACGATGAAAATGCTAAGATATAGCTTTTTTTTATTTTCTATAATTGATCTTTTGGGAATCTTGCCAACAACCCACAACACATGCATGAACACAACCCCTTCCATCATCATAACCATCATCATCACCATCATCATCATCAGCCCTTTGTGCCTGGGAATGAAAGCCCATCATGTTTATACTGCCATCATCTGGCAGCTGTCATCAGTGGTGATGAAAGCTGAACTGGAATCAATTATGACTTCAATCATCATCTCTCTGACCAGGAAGCCTTTCACTGAACATCACTCCGTTGGTTTGGAGGGGGTCGAGGGGGGTCGAGGTGTGAAATCCACCTGGTGTAAAACTGCCCCCAACCAGCAGGGGGGTCGGTAGAGTGGTGTATTCAAAGTCGACAACCGAAATAAGAAGAGGAGCCAAACTAACGACAAAGACACTTTAAACACCAACAGTCACTTCACTACATGATGAACTGATGCCTTCAGGACATATATATCCATGAAGTAGATTTGGAATACTGAGAATATTATAAAATTATTTAATTTCTCCATCTTTAACAATGTGTTTCTGGGCTGGTGATGTCATTACCTCTAGTTTTGAGCACCTAAAAATAAATAAATAAATATAAATCAACGATGTAAAGACTTCACTCCTCAAACCCACATCAGCAGGGGGCCACGTTCAGCATGAAAAATCCCTCCAGTTTCGGAGCACAGAGAGCTTACCTGCGTCCATCTCCGTGGAGAAAATAAATCCGTATCCTGAGGAGATTTAATGCCGGCGCTCCTTTCAGCGCCTTTTCTCTTCTTTTTTTTTTCCTTCTCTCTTCAGAAGTGACAGAACAATTCCTCAATAAAGCCCGTGAAATAATTCCCCCCTCCAAGTCAGTGGATGACTGAGCCTGGAGGGAGGCGTGCAGTCGCTGGGGTCAGCCACAGGTGGAGGCTTCCTCAGCCCCGCAGCAGCAGCAGCAGCAGCAGCAGCAGCAGCAGCAGCAGCAGCAGCAGCGATTGATCCAAACACAGATGAGCTCCTTGTGGTTTTCAGAGAGCGCCGATCCGAGTTGCAGAGCTCTCTCCTGAGAGGGAAGTGCAGAGAAGAGCCCGCAACCCTGTGAGCGCCGGGCCGGCCGAGCAGCAGCCAATGTCTCTGTGCATGATGTCAGAGGTGTAGGGTTTCAGCTGGAGGCTGAGGGGAGGAGGGTGGGAGGAGGAAGGGGGTGCAGCGCTGCTTTGGTGTGGGAGGCAGAGGGGTTTGACCCAGCACAGGTAAGGTAGGACTGGCTCCGCCCCTCACCCCTCCAGAGAGCAGGGGGTGGGGACGTCTTTGTCTGCTCAGGAACACACCACCTGGACAATGAGAAAAGGGTGAGAGAAAGGGAACACCACGGCGGTGACTTCAGCCCGATGGTCTCCACAAACCAAAAAAAAAAAAAAATCTCAGCCGAGGTCGACGAGGTCAAACATCTTCCTTGGACAAGCAGAGGAGAACTTTTTGGCTCCCCCTTCTGGGAGTGATTGTACACTAACACGGCATTTTGTTGCACTGCAACAAGTGAATACTCCTGAATGAAGAGAAATAAAAAACAGTGACTTTCTTGTCTCGCCCCCTCCTGCCCCCTCCTGTCTTCCAGAGGTAAAGTTACATCAGTAGTAGTCCTCTTTGTCTTCACCGTCCTGGTCTTTGTTTAAGAACTCAATCCTTTATCTGGACATCAGCTTTAAACAGACCTAAACAAAGCCTCTTCTTTTAACCCACTGTGAACTGCTGCCCTACATACACACACAGTGGTGACCAGGTCCACTGTGTCTGGACATGGTTTTTTTTTTGTATGACTCTGTTTGAATTTATTTGACACAGTGCCATTATTATTATTATTATTAATTTTCAAGTTTCAATAAATGACCTTAATTGTAGGTTTTAATCTTTTATGACGATGTCCAACATCAGTTGGTGGAAATCCATTCTTTTATGTCCAACATCAGTTGGTGGAAATCCAAACGTACTTCCTGTCTCCAGTCATTGTCCTTCCTCATAGTACGAGGAACAAACCCATCCAAGGCGGTCAGGTTAAATGTCAGACTGCAGTCTTGTCTTTTTTTTTTGTTTGTTTCTTTGTTTCCAACACCTCTGAAGTGCTCTGGCGCCCCAGGAAGAACTACTAAGCTAGCTTTGAAAACCAAAACTCTGGTCTAACAGAATGTCCAGCATTGTCCCACTCCAACAAGATCATGATTTGATAGTGGGCTGAGCGTAGTACGTACACCGAAATGCATCCATTGGCTTCAATGTTGGAAAAAAAAAATTCAGGCCCTGCCCCCCGAGGGTCTGGGAGCTTGGACAAATACATCAGGGGAAAAACGAAAAAAAGAAGAATTACTCATTGCTCTGAAAGAGACAAAGACTGGAGAAACATCACAATAGGTCGTCACAGCTGTGAAGATGGGGCGGAGCCTGGAGATATAGATAGATACAGATGGTGCACGGTGGTGACCCTCCAACACTGTTTCACATGTTTATGATTTAGACGTCAGCTTTTCACTTCTTATTCTCAACTTCAAGCAGAATTCAGATGTTTCTATGAATTTCTGATGACATCATCATCATCAGTCAAAGCAGTTGTTGGAGACATGTTGGGTTGGTACATCTATCACAGCAGTCTGTGGACGCAGCTCTGTAAACAGTCCATTATCTCAGAACAAGATAAGAGAACAATCAGGCAGAAGACAGCGTTCCAGACCTGTCATCACTGACACCAGAGAGATTAAAGTGAAGGTTCTTCTCTTTGTTTCTATCTTTCTTTTCGTTCTTTCAACAATGAGACACATATAAAGATGTCAGAAAGGGAGTAGAACATGAAAGGAGAAGCTGGATGTTTGACTCCTCTCTCACCTCCACACACAACAACAGAGACAGAGACAGAAGCAAAGATCTGTTAAAGCCTCAGCTTCCACTCGCCTGGAGTTAAAAAAATATATACAATTAAAATCCCAGGGATTTTGGTTAAACAACGTGGAACGTGACATGGAGCGCTAAGAAAACTAAAGAAGATTTAGCAAAGAATCCTCAATATAGTCTTCAATATACAGGGGCGGGTCCGGATAAAGTACAGACAGATACAAATTAAAAAACTGAACCATGATTGTTTCAGGCAATTGTCACAATCTCATGTTGCACCTCAGCCCCACAGTTGGAACTGAATAATTCATGATGTTTGGTTTAGTCAGAAAATGTATTTCAGGTCAAACACCTCGTTAGAAAAAGAAAGAAAACCTCACACTGTTTCCCTAAAATCATCTCCGTCCTCATCATAAAAGCTCTCGTTAGGATTCCAAACAGCACTTTGAACTTTAATTATCCTGCCAGTGACCGCTTTGATATCTGGAATTCAAACCCCTCCAGTCCACTCAGGTGCTTTGCTGACATTTATAGAGCGCAGCCCCATTTCAAACATTACTTTCTAAAACTAACACAACAAATATAAAGCTGAACTCTGGGATCCTGACATTTGCGCCACAAAGGACATCTTTTAGCAGCTCTTTAAAGATGCCAGGTCCAGTAGGAAGTAAAACAGCTGAGAACACACAGTTGATTTCCGACACCAAAAACAGCCGCGTGCAGGGGACGCATTAGCAGTTCCTTTTTGGCAGGTTAATGGCCAGTGCTTACGGAGAAAGTGATCTGTAAATGCTCCCATTACCTGAGAAGGTAAGTGCAGCAGCATTTTAGGATTCACAGTCACTTTAGACTGCAGTGAAAAATCAAATTAAAGTGAAAGAACACAAAAATTGACCCACTGGCTAAAAACGGAATATAGTTTTCAGACTTTAAAAAACCAGTGTGATTTAGGAATGAGCAGAACTTGTCTTCTGTCCAACCATTTAATTTTTTTATCTGATTATTCTCCAAACATCAGTCCATTAAATCAAAAAGACAGGTACGGATCGTCAATGAAATACCCGTAGTCACTCACTAAATATAAGACAAGGAAAGGATGAGAGTAATCTCAGACACTTACCGTACAAGTGTCTTCTTGATTGACAGGTGTCACAGCCTTTCACATTTGATTGTTCCTGAAGGATTTCCGCTGACACCGTCTTCCTGTAGAAGAGAAAAAAAAGAAAAAGAAAAACAGGTTAAAAAATTAACTAAAACGTGTGGGACGGTCGTGTCAGTCTGTGAACAGAACAGGAAAACTGCTTTTACACTGGTTAACATCTGACATGTAATTCAATTTAAATATCTCCAAAAATTTGTTTTTTGTTTGATTCTACAATTTATTAAAGAGTCAACATGTACGAGGGAGAACAGGATGTGTTCCATATCAAGCAGTAATACCATGGACTTTGTGGTACTGTGTGTACCACAGAGAACAGTAAAATATCCTGCTAATTATTTCAGTTTTATTTTTTTACCTTTGCTGAGTTTGTTCTCAACAGTATGACAGCAGAAACTCCCACGTCTCACCGCGACTGTGAGCTATGCTGTGAAGTCTCTTTACAGCAACATTCTCAGTTAGACTTGTTAGGTTTGGAGTGGAGCAGCAGCTCAGAGCAGTTACTCACTCAGACAGTAGGAGGAGTCGAAGAAAAACATCCAAGAAAAAGGTGAAAACATCCAAACCAACAGAACCGCCATGATCCAAAACCAGAACATTCTTCCAACTGAGTCAAGCTGAACAGACACCAGGTGGAGGTGAGACAGGTGGGACTAATGGGACACAGGTGAGACTAATGGGAAGAACCACAGCGGGCGGGAGTGATCACAGGAGGCATGAAGCGGAGCAGAGTTCAAAATAAATCAGGAAACACATGAAGATGATGAAGAAGAACCACAGCAGTGACCTGTCACACCTGTTACTGTTGTGATTCAAAGTTGACAAAATGTTTCAGCTTCTATAGCCACACGTCAACATTCAAGGTTCCAGACTCTTTATTGTCCCTTCAGCCCATGTTAGATATGAGGAAGCCCCAAATACAGATACACACAATAGAAATAAGTTCAAATCTGTACAATCGAAATGACCCAGCAATTACAACCACTGAGGTAACACGGAATGGGCGTGATATTTTATTAAATATTTATTATATTTTGTTACTTCATGTTGATTTAGATAAGTACCAGTCACTGATTTAGATTCAGTTCCATATGCAGATACAGGCTGATGGTCTGCCTGCTGGGCGCTGCTGCCTGACTCTGCTCCGCGTGTCACTGGTGATGACAACTGACCTCAAGGGTGATTTTTCTTTTGTCATGGCCAAGGGGTTGGGATTGGGGCTAGTTCTGTAATGGCGTCATCCAGTTCCTAATAAGGGTCAACACCAGGGGTCACTGACTATATTTGTCAGAAATGTTCTGGACAGACAAGTTGAACAACAATGAGTTGAATTTGGCCTTTAATCTGTTTTTCCTGATGATTTTCCTCCTGAGGTTCAGACTCCTCTCTGGTCTGGCCCAGATGGTCCATAGAATGTGTTTAAAAAAACAGTGTACATTCAGGCGGTTGACTCACCCTGACCCAATGTTTTTATCAGTTTAGAGTTAATTAACCAGCTGGTTAACATTATTTATCTGTAACTGATCCAAGGACAAACAAGAAGAAACAACAGCGTAAATAAAGTTGTGATATCTCTGAACAACAAAGAACAGCTCTTATCTCTGCTGTGGCTGTGTGTGTGTGTGTGTGTGTGTGTGTTTATCTATTTAAAGGTAACATCACAGAGCACATTTTCTAAAGCCTGCCAGCTCATGTTTCTCAAAAACATTTATCATTTCAGAAAAAACTGGACGGCTGTAATTTCTCGGGGTCGGAGGGAACATCAAACGGACGGTGGTTTCCCCTCAGAAAGTCACACACACCTGTTAGAGGAAACCGTCTGGAATTTCTTCCCTTTCATTCACTCAGAAAAAGACCCGTTAGCATCTGTGATGGTTGACGTGACCTGACTGTCAAAGAGCGCCCCCCACCACCACCACCACTACACTGCAATACTTCTACAGTACGTCTGCTGTGAATACTGTTAGTACTGTTAAACACGGTGTCTTGCTCAGAGCACCTCAGTGGCTTGTGGACTCAAACCTGAAACCTACAGGTCCCAAGTCCGCTTCCTTAACCACTAAGCCACCACTGCCCAGTAAAAATTCAACCACGAAGGGACTCGAACCCTCAATCTTCTGATTCGAAGTCAGACGCCTTATCCATTAGGCCACGCGGTCACAGTGCAACAATGGACTTACAAAGTACAATACCAAGGCTAGTGCACTACAATTCAGCTGCTAAAACTACAGTATATTTGTGTATTCAGGAGTACTTATGTACCACTTAAGTCCTGTATTTGGGTAGAATAGACACAGCGATGTATTCTACCTAAAGGTCAAGGACGGCCGTGATAGGACAAGGTCGACATCCTGATGATTATACAGAATAAAGAAGAGTGGAGATGGAACGGCTGCCTTCATGGACACATCCATCCATCTGTCCGTCCAACGGTCCATCCATCATCCATCCATCCTGACTCCTCCTCTCTATGCTCCTCCTCCTCTACCTGCCTCCCTCCATTGCTCCTGTCATAATTACTACAGCTGCTCAGGTCAGCCAACAATCAGAACATGTCACTGAGTCTAATAAGCTGTTGCACAGGCAACACGCTCCATTTTTCTTCCGTCGTTTCCTTCTGTCTTAATGGCGTCTCATTCAGAC